TGGGTTTCAGCGCGAGTGAGGTTGATTGTGAATGAACCTGCATGCGATTGCGTCTATCTGCATGACTGCGACCATGGATACGCTTAGTGTAAATGCGTATGGTTGTGAATGGTTTGGGGGCTGCTCGATTCTGAATACTCGTGACACTGAGCGTGGCCGCCGCAGGGAGCTTAGTTGGAAATCCCGACGGCAGCGCCCGCGCGCCGTGACGCCCATGTCGGCGCGCCCCTCACGAGGATTGCGCCCGGTTCCTATTTTTTTGTCCCCCGCTTTGCCCGCGCACTCCAAAGTCCAAGGCTGCGGGCGCAGCGCAGCGCGGAGTCCCCGCGACGCGCGCAGGTCACCCCGAAGGGGTCCCAGAAACGCGCGCGGGTCGTCCGCGGCGCGGAGCAAAGAGAGCTAGCTGGTTGACTGATAGCGGGCAAGGCTCTGGCCGCTGGGCAGAGCGACGACGGGCGAGCGAGGCGTTTGGCAGAGCGCAGCACGGAGTTCCCGCGACGCGCGTTGGTCGCCCCGAGAGGGTCCCAGCGACGCGCGCGGGTCGTCCGCAGCGCGAGGCCAAGCAGCTAGTCGGGCAATCGAGAGAAGGCGCGGCTCGGACGGGACGCCCCTCAGGTCAGGCCTCGCGGATGCACTCGGCGAAGCCGGGCTCCCCGGTGAGAGCTGTCGCCTCCTTCCTGCGCCGCTTCGTGCGCGCCGCAAATTGCCCCAGCTGCTTCCGCAAGCCCTCCGGCGGCCCTGCCAGGAAGAACTCGATGCGCGGCGCCCGCATGAGCAGGAGGTCCTCGTGGCGCGTGGCGCGCGTGGCGCGCGAGAGCATCGCGTAGAGCTCCGGCCGCCAGCCGTCGCCCTCCTTGCCGTTCCCGACCTCGTGGCGGCCGCAGGTCCCGGATCACGCATGGGAGACGTCGGCCGAGAGCGGCGCGCTGGACTGTCGACGGCCCAGGGCGAGGGTCCACAGGATCGAAAGAAGGTCTGGCTGCGGGCCGCTCGCGCCCAAAAAAATCAGCCGTATACTGCCGAGGGGGGGTGGGCCGTTCGTTCGCCCCGTCGCCTTCTCGCACGGTGCGCCCCTGGCACGCCACCGCGGTGATCGCCGTGCCGCGCGAGAGCGGGACGCTTGTTCGAATTGCCCTCGAAGCGCTGGAGATGAGCCGCTGCGACGCGCGGGGCTCGATGAACGCCAGCGGGCCAGCGAGGTGCCCCGTGAGGCTGTCGTCGCGGCGCCTCAGGTCGTCCACGACCAGCGGCAGGTGCTTCAGATAGATTCTCTTCTCCCCGTCACTTTCGGCTCTGTCGACGTCGCCCCGATCCCGAGGGTCCACGACGATGTGCGCGATTTGCCTTTCGGCATCTTTGACGAAGTCGCTCTTGAGGTCGAGCGCCTCCAGTAGCCGGAGCCGCATGCCCACGTGCACCGCGGGCACGCCGTGCATGCCACCAGTGTTTTTTGTTTTTTCGGTGGGGCTTCCGATGGGCCCACCAAGCGTGTGAGGGTTGTGCCGGCATTGGCGTGGGGGGCGCATGTGGACGGCGGCGGTGGGGCCTTCGGTGGAACTCCCTATGGAGCCACGGCGCGTGCGAGGGGTGTGCCGAAATTGGTGCGGGGGACGCATGTGGACGGTAGCACTGGGGCCTTCGGTGGAGCCCTATGGGGCGACGAAACGTGTGAGGGGTGTGCCGAAATCGGTGTTGGGGACGCATGTGGACGGTGGCATCGGGGCTTTCGGTGGAGCTCCATCTGCGGCCACGAAACGTGTGAGGGATGTGCCGAAAGTGGTGTTGGGGACGCATGTGGACGGTGGCGCGGGGGCAATCGGTGTAGCTCCCTACACGAAACATGGGAGTGGTGTGCCGAAGTGGGTGCGGGGGGCGCATGTGGACGGTGGCATTTGGGTTTTCGATGGGTTGTCTTGTTGGGCCACGAAGCGTGTGAGGCGTGTGCCGACATGGGTGTAAGGGGCGCATTTGGACGGTAACACTGGGGCCTTCGGTTGAGCTCCCTGTGGGGCCACGAAGCGCTGTACTGGGTGGGTGAAGCGCAGGGAGGAGGGAGGAGGGGAAATAGGGATGATGAAGGAGAACGCGGGGCGCACTTTATTCAAAACGAGGACCCAACACCTCCACATGATGGTTGGGACAAAAATTATCCAGGCGAAGGACCCAGCCATATGCAATTGTGGGTACCGCAAGTGTGAATATGTTTTTAGGTGAAACATCTATGGAACCACGAAGCGTTGTACTGGGTTGGGGGAACGCATGCGGACGGCAGCAATGGTGCCGTCGGTGGAGTTCCGTATGGGGCCATGACGCGTTGCATTGGGTGGGTGAAAATGCTGAAGTGTGTGTGTGTGTGTGTTTGTTTGTGTATGTGTGTGTGGGGGGGACGCATGCGGGCGGTCCCCCCGGGAAGTTCGGTGGAGCTCCCAAGTGGGCCACGAAGCGCTGTATTGGGTGGGTGGAAATGCCAGGCTGGGTGTGTGGGGGCGCGTGCTGGCGGTCCCACTGGGGCGTTCGGTGGAGCTCCCTATGGGGCCACGAAGCGCTGTAGTTGGTTAGTGAAAATGCCAAATTGTCTTTCCGGGGCGCGCACGGGCGGTCCCACTGGGGGTTTTGGTGGAGTTCCCCATGGGGCCACGAGGCGCTGTATTGGGTGGGTGAAAATGCCCAAGTGGGTTTCCAGGGCGGATGCGGGCGGTCCCACTGTGACCTTCGGTGGAGCTCCCTATGCAGTGCGACCTTCGGTGGGGCTCCCTGTGGGGCCACGAAACGCTGTACTGTGTGGGGGGGCGCATGCGGACGGTAGCACTGGGACCTTCGGTGGAACTCCGTATGGGCCCACGAAGTGCTGTATTGGGTGAGGGGACGCATGCGGGCGGTAGCGCTGGGACCTTCGGTGGAACACCCTATGGGGCCACGAAGTGCTGTACTGGGTGGGGGGGACGCATGCGGACGGTAGCACTGGGACCTTCGGTGGGCTTCCATATGGGGCCACGAATCGCTGTACTGGGTGGGGGGACGCATGCGGACGGTAGCATTGCGAGCTTCGGCTCGAGCTCCCTACGGGCCCACGAAACGCTGAGGGGTACCGTAGGGGGGAGGGAAGAGGAAGGAGGAGGATTAAGAGGAAAAGGAGGAGAACGCGGGGACCGTCTTTTCAAAACGAGAACCCGACACCACAGGATGGCTGGGAACAAGACGAAAGCCGGAAGAGCACAACGACAAGAGGGAGAGCAAAACGAACAACAAAACGAACGCAAAACGAAAAACAACGTTTGTGTCCAGCCCTGCAGAGCCCCGACCCTCTCCCCGGGGGGGGGGCAGCTTGTCCTCCGCGGCGTGTGCCCGTGCTGGTCCACCGGGGCCCGACAGCGAGGCCCCCCCGAGTCCGACATCGAGAAAAGACTGCGGGATTGAAAGACCCCCTCCTGTTTCTCCCCCATCTTCTCCTCGTCCTCCTCCTCCTCCTCCCTCCTCCTCCCTCCTCCTCCTCCACCCTCCTCCTGCTCCTCCTCCTCCTCCTCCTCCTCCTCCTCCCTCATGTTCCCCCTCCCCTTCCCCCTCCCCCTCCTTCTCCTCTCCTCGTCCTCCCGCTCCTTCTTTTCCTCCTCCCCCCCTCCTCCTCCCTCCTCCTCCTCCTCCTCCTCCCTCCTCCTCCTCCTCCTTCTCCTTCTCTCTCCTCCTCCCCCTCCCCCTCCCCCTCCCCCTCCCCTCTCCTCCTCCTCCTCTCCTCCTCCTCCTCTCCTCCTCCTCCTCCTCCTCTCCTCCTCCTCCTCCTCCTCCTCCTCCTTCCCCCTTTCCTCCTCCTCCTCCTCTTCCTCCTCCTCCTCCTCCTCCTCCTTCTCCGCCTCCTCGTCCGCCTCCTCCTCCTCGCCTCGGCGGCGCGAAATCGGAACCCCGCCCTCGCCGATCCTCGGTGCGGGCGACTCGACGTTGGCGAAGTGGGGTAGGGTCCGGCATTCGGGGGACGCCTGGCGATTGGGCGCCGCGCAACGTGGGGTCGATAAAGATTGGGAGGCGGTGCGGGCCGCCGAAAAGGGCCCCCTTAAGGGCCCCTAGAGGTGCCCGTGAGAGCCCTTTTGGGTTCCAGAAGTGCACCGTTGTCCCCCCCCCCCCAATTTATCGCCCCCCCATAAGCGACGCCCCAAGCGAAGTCCGATCCCTGCCCCCGCCTCCCATCGATGGAGGAGAATCGATGGTTGGTGGGGGCAAGGTTCGGATGTGGCCACCCGTCATACAGTCGGACCGAGGCAGAAGATCCAGGTCGGCTCGGGGAGAGTACCATAAAGCATAGTGTTCTTCGTGCTTGCTGGACGCTCTTGTGCATCCTGCGGAGGGTACCCTCGGATGTCCTGCGTGTTTTGGCCGGCGGAGGGTCTCGTGTTCTTGAGGGATGCCCTTCTGTCCTGGGTCCAACTGTGTCGTTGTCCATGGCGTCCCGCGTCCTCCTCGTCGCCCTGGAGCACGTGGGCGTTGCATTCTGCATTCAAGAGGTTGCCTCCTGTTGCCCAGCCGCGGCCCCGATTGGAATATTGAGATCGATTGTGAGATCGATAGTGTAATCGATAGTGCGGACGACTGTGTAGTCGATTGTGAGACCGATAGTGTAGTCGATTCAGTGAGATCGATCGATAATGCGATCGATCGATCGTGAGATAGCTCGTGTGATCTATAGTGAGATCGATTGTGAGAGATCGATTGCGAGATCATTGGTGAGATCGATTATGAGATCGATAGTGTGATCGGTAGAGAGGTGTGACCGATCAATAAGAAGATCGACCAGAAAAAACGGGAACCCGGGAACCCCGCCGCCCACCGAAGTCGGCCTGGAACTGGGAACCCGGGAACCCAGAACTGGGAACCCGAGAAACCCGGCCGCCCACCGAAATCGGCCCGGAATTTTCGCCACATCCTTCAACATCCGTGAGGAGCCCTTCTGTGCAAGCACTGCTTGGGGAAGACATGCATGCATACAGATAATTATCTGGCCCTCCGCCCAGGACGCGGGCGCGCCGCCGCTGCTGCTCGCCAAGGAGGAGGCGCCGCGGGACAAGGACCGTCCCGGGCGCCTCCCGGGCCCGACGGCTCGAGGCTCGGGCCCAGAGGTTCGACGCTCGAACGGAATAAGAGCGGGCTATCTCGGGGGCCGTTCTCGGGGAGGGGGCCATGGAGGAGCATGTTGCCTCCTCTCGCGAGCAAGTACAAGCACGAAATCCACAAATTCCGACGAAGGCATCTATACACCACCACCGTGCCAGGCCAGGGCCATCCTGGGCCCCAGGATGGTGTATACGCCCTCCTGGCCGAGCCAGGAGGGTCGGGTCTATACACCATCCGACGGCCCAGGATGGCCCTGGCCTGGCACGGTGGTGGTGTATAGATGCTTTCTACGTGCAAATGCACGGGGAATGGGCGTCCGAGCGATGGCAAGGGCTGTCCTGCCTCTCGGGGCCTGGTCTCACAGGCGCGCAGGTGGTCGCGAGCCGCTCGCGGGGTAGCACGTGCGAGGACGCTCCTTGCCCCGGCGGCGAGGCAGAGGCAGCCCGCTCCAGCGCGCGGCCACACTCGGGGCAGCCGATGGCAACTCGTCCGGCGAGCAAGAGAGAGAGCGAGAGAGAGGCGCAGACGAGCGCGGCCGCGCGAACAGGGAGGAGGAGGCAGAAAACTCAGGAGGGAAAAACACACAGACACAATGAATCGTCGATTCCTGGGCAAATCTGGGAAAATATGGGAGTGGGGAGGGGGGGAGACAAAAACCCAGAAAATATGGAAAGATAGGGGTCATCCTGTTAGTTGTAAGCATTCATTTGTATGTCCCTGGGCCCCTTCAAGAACGCAGGACTCACGCGGGGGGAGAGCGCTCCTGGCGCCGGAGCGCTCCGGCGCCGAGCGGGGCGGGGCAGCGGTGGCCGAGGCGGCGGTGGCCGTGGCAGTGGGCGGGGTCGCGAGGAGAGGGCGCACCCACGGGCGCCGCCAGACAGCACGTGGCGTCAGCACGGGGCCGACTTTTCGCGCGCTTGGGCGCCCAGCATGGGCACGGCCAATTCCCATATTTTCTTATATATATTTGTGTATATATATATATATATGTATATATATTGGGAATAATCGACGATTAATTGTGTCTGTGTGCTTTTGCCCTCCTGAATGATTTTCTGTCGCTGCCCCTCGGCGCGTGGCCGACTGCCCTTTTGCTCCTGGGAGCTTCTCGATCGTCAAAGACTGGGGCCTACCAATTTGGACGCCCGAAATGGGCACGGAAAGAATGGGTACAATGCCCAACAGCAGTTCTGGTTCATTTCGAACAGGACTCGCTGTCGGTGTCGCCGCGGCCCGTGTCCCTTTGAGGCAGAGGGCCGCCTGCCCAACAGCGGCCGCGGTTGGTTTGGGACAACATTTGTTGTTGGGCAATGTACCCATTCTTTCCGTGCCCCTTTTGGGCGTCCAAAGCGCGGGCGCTCGCGCGCGTGCGCGAGCGCGCGCGCGCGCGAGAGCGCCCTCCTCTTCTCCGCGCGGCGCGCGAGGCCGGCGGCCCGGTTGATAGGGCTCCTGCCTCGACACGTCGATGAGCGAGTTGGCCGGCGTCGGTTCGCGAGAGGGAGCCGCGGCCGTCGTTTTTCTGCGGGTCCAGGTCCGTCGGTGTCGGTCCTGTGGGCCGTTTTCGCTGAAGGGTGGTTTGCTAAAGGGAGGTTTGCCCACCGCCGAGGGAATCTTCCACAGTAGTGGTCAGAAAATAGTCTGGTGACGACTTTTTCAAGCAGTGGCGAAGCGTCCCGGCTCGCATATAGCCTATAGCCCCACCAAACAATGTTCTAAGAACCTTTTGGGGTTCCCACGAAATGTTCTTAGAACATTGCTGGCTGACATTGCTTTGTTTTAACACATCGGGTTTATGTTCTAAGAACATCGTTTTTGCTCTTAGAACCTCTCTGGGTTCTAAGAACATTATGTGGTAGGACTATAGGAATGCCGGGACGGTCGGTCCCTGCTCAATGAATAGTTGTTGACTACTGGTTGTTTCTCTTGCAAAGCTTGCCTGTAGGGGGACATGCCCGACCCGTAGTCAGCCCGCGCAGTGAGGATGGGCAACCTTCCCAAGGGGACCCTTGCTCCCCGTGCCTCCTCGGCCCATCCGTGGCCACCTTCGTTGGCCAGCCTTGTGCGGAAAACGTTTACATGGGCCTCCAAGGCCCTTGCATCCTTACCGCGCATCCTTATGATACGGGTTGGCTGTAACGCTGTGTTCAAGCAGTGGCGAAGCGTCCTAGCGTGCCTATAGGTTTCCACGACATGCTCTTAGAGAACATTTCTGGCTGGTACTGTCTTGTTTTAACACCTCGGGTTTATGTTCTAAGAACATGGTTTTTGTGTGTTCCAACATTCTTGGGGGTTCTAAGAGCATTTCCTGGTAGGCCTCCTGGAGTGCCGGGACGGTCGGTCCCTGCCCAGTGTGTCCTCTCGCGCAGGGCCCTTAGTCAGAGCCCCGAATCATCAGGGGTAACTCGGGTCAGGGCTAACTCGGGTTCGTTTTTCGGAAATCCGAACCCGAGTTGCCCTGGGCCCGAGTTACCCCGGATAATTCGGGCGCCCAACTTAGCGCTTCCCCCGCGCCGTCGCGCGTGCCCTCCCGCCCTGGCCGGCCAGAGCGCACCCCGTGCGCCGACCCGTGCGGTGCCCACCTCGCCATCCCCACCGGTCGGCATCGGGCTCGGCCCTGGCCGGCCCGCTCCGATGCGGTTCCGAGGTCCAGGCGCTCCGAGCCCAGAAAGGATGGCGTCGTCAAAGAAAATACCTGGGCGGGAGGTTTTTTGTTATGTTCGGCCCCCGGGGGCCCTCGCCGGGCCTCGGGACCGCCAGAAAACGACTCAGGACGAAAAACCGATCCCGGGGACAGGGTCGGGACGTCCAGGGGCGCCGTCCTGAAAACATCGGGACGTCGCATGTCGGGGATGCGGGCCGAGGTTTTGCATGGCGTGATGGCAGTCGGCCCGCATGGTAAAAGCACGGGCAGCCCTCCCAGAAGGTTACCTTTGCACCCCTGCCTCCTCGGTCCGTCCTCGGCCGCGCTCGTCGGCCGCTCGAGGAGCTTCGCAATGGGCGTCCGAGGCCCTGGCACCCTTCTCGCGCATATTCAGTGTACTCGAGCAGTGGCGAAGCGTCCTGGCGTGTCCCATAGGCCCACCCAACCATGTTCTTGGAGCATTTTCTGTAGTTCCCACGACATGTTCTTAGAACATTTCTGGCGGGAGCCGTCTTGTTTTGACACATGGGGCTTATGTTCTAAGAGCATTGTTTTTGTTCTCAGAAAAGTTGTGGGATCTAAGGTAGGGGAACGAAAACTGACATAAACATAAAAACTCTGAGGTCCGCGCGGATTTCTCGGATCGGCGCTGGACCCCGCGCGCCAGGGGCGGCGCCGGAGGCGCCGCCGGGGGGCCCCAGCGCCGATCCGAGAAATCCGCGCGGACCTCCGAGTTTTTATGTTTATGTTTTAAGGCCATTGTTTTTGCTCTTAGAATGGTTGTGGGGTCTACGAACATTTCGTGGTGGGCCTATAGGAGTGCCAGAACGGTCGGTCCCTGCTCAGTGTGTCCTCTCCGCGCAGGGCCCTCCGCTCCCCCCGCGCCGTCGCGCGTGCCCTCCCGCCCTGGATCCAGCCGAGCGCACTCGTGCACCGACCCGGCGGTGCCCACCTTTGCTATCCCATCGATCCGGGCGGGCCGCTTCGACTCGCAGGGGGCCATATTGCGCACCCTACCCCTACCCCCCACGATTTCGGAGGGGGATGGTGGGGTTCACTGCGCTCGGGAGCTCCCGAGCGCAGTGAACCCCACCCTCCCCTTCAGAAATCGTGGGGAGTAGCGTTAGGTCGGGCATGTCCCCCTACAAACGGATCTTGGACGAAAGTAAAAGATATTCCCAAAATGCTCCAGAATTGTGAAGAAATATTCAAAACATCGTCCCCCGACTAATTGTTTCTCTATCTTGGAATACTCCTCCTGTTGAGGCACAGGCCCGACTTAGAAGGGTAGGGGTAGGCTTCGCAATTGGCCCCCCAATTCGGCGCCGAGGCCCGGGCGCTCCGCTGCGGGCCAAAAGGTCTGCACGGCGCGAGCACGGCCGGCCCGCACACGGTGAGCACGGGCAGCCCTCCGGGAATCTGCACGAGCGAAACGGGCACGGAAAGAATGGGTACAATGCCCAACAGCGGATCTTGTTCATTTTGAACAGGACTCGCTGGTCCGCGCCGCCGCGGCCTGTGTCCATTCGAGACAGAAGGCCGCCTGCCCAACAGCGCCCGCTGATGTTTTGGGACGGCATTTGGTTGGGGGCATTGTGTCCATTTTTTCCGTACCCATTTCGGGCGTCCAAAAGGAAGGGTGCCCCGTTCAAGAGGGAGGAAAGAGCACACAGACACAGTGCATCGTCGATTCCCCAGAAGATATAGATAAGCATGGGAAGTGGGGGGGAACAACAACCAAGAAAATGTGGGACAACATTGGGAATCCTGTTATTTGTGTGTATTTCTCGTCGATTCCCCAGGAAATGTAGGGAAGTGTGGGAAGTGGGGGGGAAACAAGAACCCAGAACATGTGGGAAAAGACATGGGGAGTCCTGTCATTTGTGTGTATTTGTGTGTGTGTGTGTGTGTGTGTGTGTGTGTGTGTGTGTGTGTGTGTGTGTCCCAGGGCCCCTTCCCCCCTGCACCCCTGCTCCCTCGGCCCGTCCTCGGCCACGCTCGGCGGCCGCTCGAGGAGCTCCGCAGTGGGCGCCCGGGGCCCGCGCAGCGGAGGCTGACAGACCTCCTGCCTCGACACGTCGATTACTCCGGATTCCATAACAAAGTGGCAGGGGTCACATTCGGGGGGGGGTCTGATTTGAGCTGTCTTGGAGGGCTCGGGGGGGTCTGGGCAAAGGGCCGCCCTTTCGTGGATGGTCTGGGGGGGTCTAAAACTTCTCGTCTGGGAGGGTTGCGACCCCCTTCCCTTTTGTTACGAAATCTGGAGTAAGGAATTGGCCGTTTTCGGTTCGCGAGAGGGCGTCGCGGCCGCCATTTTTGCGGGCCCAGGTCCGTCGGTTTCGGTCCTGGGCCGTTTTCGCTGAGGGGGGGGTTTACAAAAGGGTGGTTTGTCCACCGCCGATGGCGCCCTTCTCGCGCATCCTTAGGATACTGGCCGAGGGTGTCTTTCTTTTTGTGTTTTTTTTCCAACTCTTGGGTTTCGATGGTTCTGCTCTGGAAAGAGCGACGCCCCCACGCCTAAATATCAGTGGACATCCTGGGGTCTCAGGGTTGGACTGAGTCGGGCCTGTCCCTCCACAAGAAGGATATCCAAACATAGTCAAGCAATAGTCTGGGGACAATTTTTGTTCAGTATGTTTGAGAACTTTTGAAGTATACCTGGACTATTTCAACTTTCCGTCCAATTTCCCGCAGGCCCGACCTAAGGGTTAGGCTTCGTACAGTCGAGGCCCTGAAGAAGGAACCCTTTTCGTTGGGGAGGGGCTCCGCGTTCCTTCAGTGTTTCACAGCTTGCCTCAGGTTTTCCTTATGTTTTCGATAGGAAATCGAAGCTTAACTGATGCCAAAAAAGGGGCCTCGCTCCTTATTTAGGGTTCCTTAGGTCAACGCCCCGACTGTATGGCAGGTGTCCTGTGGACCTCCTCCCCTCGCCGCCCGCCGCAGGCCGCGAAGCGCGAGGCGCCGGCGCCGGCGCGCGGGAGGCCCGCGCGGGGCGGGCGGCGCGGGCTGCCTGTCGGGACCTCGCGAAGGGGGGGGGCCGCCACCCGTGCCGAGCGAAAGGGGGGATAGGGAAAGGGGGGGTTACGACATCTGCTGCGTGCAGCTGGTTTCGGCCCCGCCGCCGGGCCCATTCCTCGATATCCGTGGCCGCCTCCGGCGCCGGGAGGCGCCGGAAAAATCTTCTCAGACCCCGCCTTTGCTCTCCCCCGCTTTCACCCAGCCCGAGCCACAGAGGGGGGGGGTGAGTTCGGTCCGCTGGCGCATCAGACCGCAGAAAAGCGAGGCAGAACGAGGTCCCCGGCCGCCGCTGGGACCCGAGAGGCGCCGACAAGCGGGTTGCGTGGGGGGCGTATCGTTTTTCGGGAGTTCGGTGCACCAGCGGATCGAAGGCACCTCAGGGTCCCTCCCCCGCTTTGGTCTTGGACGCCCGAAATGGGCACGGAAAGAATGGGCACACTGCCCAACAACAAATCTTGTCCCCAACCAACTGCGGCCATTGTTGGGCAGGCGGCCCTCTGCCCCAAAGGGGCACAGGCCGCGGCGACACCGACAGCGCGTCCTGTTCGGAATGAGCAGAGACTGCTGTGGGGCATGGTGCCCATGCTTTCCGTGCCCATTTCGGGCGTCCAACTTTGTGGGCCCCAGTCTTTGACGATCGAGGAGCTCCCAGGAGAGCTAAGGGCAGTCGGCCACGCGCCGAGGGGCAGCGGCAGAAAAGCATGGCGGGAGGCTTCTCCGTAGTTCTCCGGCCTCCAGAGGCTCGGGCCGAGCGAAAGGGGGGGAAAAGGGGGTTTATACGAAGTCTGCTGCGTGCAGCTGGTTTCGGCCCCGCCGCCGGGCCCATTCCTCGATATACGTGGCCGCCTCCGGCGCCGGGAGGCGCCGGGAAAATCAGCTACGTGAGCTGATTCTCAAACCCCCCCTTTGCTATCCCCCCCTTCCGCCCGGTCCGAGAGGCCCTTGCCAGCCCTCGGGGCCGTCAAGCAACGGCTCGGCGTGAAAGGCCGGTCCAGGGGAAAAGGTCGAGACCTCTGGGGGTCGACGTTCTGCAAGAGTCATGGCGTCGGGGGTCTGGGATGCATCCGTTGCAGAGCGCTCTCAGAGCGCTCTCAGAGCGTCCTGAAGCGCTCTGAGAAGGTCGCGTCGCCCGAGGCATCTTCCAGAGCCGCCGGATCTCAGAGATTCTCGATTCGTCCTCACCGACTTTCTCCTCTTCCTGGCCTCCTTTTATAGGAGGAGGGGGGAAGGCTTCTTAGAAGCCTTAGAAGCACCCCTGCCTCTAAGAAAACGGCCTCGTCTGTAGATGTGAGGCTGGCGCCTTCTAATGTGCAGCCCCTCTTCTAAGAAGCCTTCGTCGCTCTTCCAACCCCCTTTGCGCGCCGCCGAGACAGGGGAGGAAGCTTCAAGGTTCGAGGTCCGAGGGGGAACGAAGTTTCGAGGTTCGAGGTTTTCGGACGTGTTCTCGGACGTTCGCTGCGGCGCTCCAGCCTCGGGATGCGTGCCGACAGCTGCGCCTCGCCGAGGGCTTTCGGGGGGGCGGGGATCGTGCCAAACGGTCGCCAGATGCCCGAGTTATGGCCCGAAGAACAACATCAGCGCCCACCAAAGCACCCCTAACCCAACCCGAAGGCCCCGAATTGTCCTCCACTTCCAGTGGGGGGGGTCGGAGAACAGTGAAAAAACACGTATGAAGCCCGTACCCCCCCCCCAACCCGAAATTCGGGCGAGATTCGGGTCTTCGGGCTGGGCTGGGGTGGCTTGGCGGGTAGTCGCAGCCCGAAGATTCAGCATCGGCCTCGCGTCTCCCAGGCATCGCCGCTGGAGGCCCGCGTGCGGGCTCGCCAGCGGGGGGCCTGTCGCCCAGCTGTCAGCGATGCGTCAGCTGTCGGCGATGTGGCAGCGATGTTTCCATCCCCGAGCCAGCCCCCGAAGTATGCAGAGTTCCTCCGAAGGGCTTAGGCGACCCCTCCTCCTCCTCCCTCCTCCTCCTCCCTCCTCCTCCCCCTCCTCCTCCTCCTCCTTCTCCTCCTCTTCCTCCTCCTCCTTCTGCTCCCTCCTCCTCCCTCATCTCCTCTCCCCCTCCCCCTCCTCCATCCCCCTCCTCCTCCTCCCCCTCTTCCTCGGGTCGCCTGCGGCCCCGGGAGAAACCGTGCATCTTCCATCCCTAAACCAGCCCCCCTAAGTATCCTTCTCCCTCAAGTTCCGGGAGGCACTTGGGGGCTCCCCGAAGCCTCCCAGAGTTCCTCACAAGCGAGCCGAAACACTCCGACCACCTTCAAGGACCTCCACCTCCCTCCCTCATGACGCGGCTGGGGCAGGCCTCGCGGCATCACGTTTCAGGGCGTTCGTCTCGCGCATTTCTCGGGGGCCAATCTGCGCCTGCCCCTATATGTCAGAGTGTCATCCTGGCGCACAGTGCAGAGTCCAGCGGGTCCGCGGCCCCGAGCAGATCGTCGGCCGCCTCACCGCGAGATCTCGCCAGCAGTCCGCTGGGGCTGAGCTGTGCACCCCCACCTTCTCCCCTTGCCGAGCTGACCCCCCCCACCCACGCCTCCCCTTCTCTGACCTTGTCGTCGTCGTCCTCCTCCTCCTCCTCCTCCTTCTTCTCGACGTTGCACAGGCATGGGTCGGAGATCGTTTCCTCCTCCTCCTCCTCCTCCTTCTCCTCCTTCTCCATTCCATTTACTTATACATAGCTTCTCCCTGCCGCACCCCGAGGCCAGATTTTCGGGTGGTCCGGGCGTTTCGCCTGAGACCTCCTCTCCATGTATGACTCTGAAGCTTAAACATTGACAGCAGTTTCACAGATGGAGGGCGCGGTGCTTTCAACATGTGGCTCTCGCCTTAGCGCGGCGCACATTCGTCTTCCATATTCGCAAGGGCTTCACGGATTGCGGGCGGGCCATTTTCAAAATGTGGTTCTTGCTTTAGCGCCGCGCACATTCGTTTTAACAAGTTGCAAGAGTTTTACGGATTGAGGGCGGGTCGTTTTCAAAATGTGGTTATCGCCTTACCGCCGCGCACATTCGTTTCAAATATGTGCAAGAGTTTCAAGGATTGAGGGCAGGTCGTTTTCAAATTGTGGTTCTCGCCTTAGCGCCGCGCACTTTCGTTTACAACATGTGCAAGACCTTTGACGGATCCCCATCATCAACGTATCATAAGCAATGTTTTGAAAGGATTCAGGATTATGCAGGCACAACGGTTACGTTGGTTCGCCTGGCGTTCTGGTACGATTCAGGATCGTCAAGACGCAGCAGTCAGGTTCATCCGTGGCGTTGGAATCCCGAGGACAATGTCTTGGCATGCTTCAGGGCATTCAAACGGTTGTTTTCGAACGGGGCAGTTCCCTCAATGGAAATGAACCGTTGTACGTGCCTATTGAAGAGGGAGCTTGGAAGGAGGGTTCATTCCCACATCGTTGGTGACTCTTGGCTTTGCATTGGTCCTCCCCCTCCTCCTCCTCCTCCTCCTCCTACTTCTCCTCCTCCCTTCTGCGCCTGAGGGCCGCCCCCATCGAGCAACAAGTTCCTGAGTCCTGCCTCTCCCTCTCTCCTGCCCAGCCGCGGCGTCGAAGCGGCCGGGGAGGGCGCGGAAGCCGAGGGTCGGAGGGCGAGGGCAGTCTGCCTCTCGCGCGGCTCTGGTCGCGCGCGGCGAGCGTCGGCTTCTCCAGACGCCTTCCTGCGCGGCCGCAGCGAGCCACTCGCCCTTCCTCCTGCTCCCTTCCCCCCTTTTTTGCCAAACACATGGTCGCCCCCCTACCAAGATCTACCTCGTGACAGCTGCACACATGCCTATTCCGTCTGCACCGGATCTCCCCGCGGCATTGCAATCTTTGCATAACGTTGCGACGCCGCAGCTGACGTCGCGGATGACGACGGCACTGGCACTAATGTCTCCGTAATAGATCGCACTCCAACCAGGTGCAGATCTAACATCCCCGACGCGCCTGCATCGGCGCGAGCAAATGGCACGCAACAGCGGGCCCTCTCTGCGGACAGACGCCCGTGCCCTGCGATGGGGTGCGCATACGGACATTCTGCAATGATGCATCCCTGCCCCCCGCCCGACCCCCGGGGCAAAGGCCAGGCTCCAGCACACGCGCGCTCCAGGCGACGCCTTTTCTGGGCCTCCATGCCTGCCATGGGGGCACCCTGCTTGCCTCCAGGGGGCCCTGGCTTTCTCGAGTGTCGAGTGGGAGGAGAAGGAGGAATGTGACGAGGGGTAGGAGAAACCCAAGACGCATCAACGATGCTGCA